CTCCTGCCAACCGGTACCACCGTGACTGCCGTCGTCTACGCTGCTCGACTTCAGAAGTTGGCTGGCGTCATTCAAAAAGAGCGTCCCAAACGCGACAAAGTTCTCCTTCTGCATGAAAACGCTCGTCCACGTGTTGCGAAGATGACTCGCCAGACGATTTCGGAACTGGGCTGGAGAGTTTTACCCCATCCAGCGTATTCTCCGGACTTGGCCCCTTCCGACTATCACTTGTTCCGGGCCCTCAAGAATCACCTGCGGGACAAGGCACAAGACGATCGAGCACAGCTCGAAAATGATGTCGGCCGTTTCTTCGCTTCGCAATCGCCAGAGTTCTGGGCAAAGGGCATCGAGCAGTTACCCGTGCGTTGGGAACATGTCATAGACAACAATTGTCATTACATTGGAGACTGAAATTGCATTTCAATAAAGTTATAAAATTTTGAAAAATTTGCGCAGTGTTGCAAGACTTTCTTTACAACCCAATAGAAGAAAAGCTCGTCCGTCGATGCAAACTGAAATATTCATTCCGTATTTACCTGGAAAAAATGTTTGCAGATACAGTCGACGCTCGATGTAACGAACTCGAAGGGACAGGCTGGAAATTTCCGTTATTGGGAATTCCTCACATTTCACTGGAAAAGCGTCGTATTGCTTATACAGCTTCCACGTAAGCACATAAAATGTGCAATGAAAATCGGAGGAGACGCTGTCTATTCATTGGAAACAACTTTGAGAAATGGCCAGATAGTTGAAGGCTTCAATTGAAGTCAGAGCAGAAATTCGGCCTGATCCCGATCCTTTAGATCAACGGTGCCCAACCCGCGAGGCCCTAACCCACAATAAATACCCTCAGGTTTCCTTAAATAATCTCCTACAATACCAGCGACTGCATATGGCCCCCCAGCCGAAAAGGTCGGGCACCAGCGCTTTGAATCCAGAGAGGATTAAGATTAAGATTAAGATTATGAATGACAGAGCTCCCTTGCTTCAATTGAGTTGGTGGGACACGCTAAATTTAGATAAGAGATGAGATTTTATGAGATTTTCCGAGCTCTGACACGTGCAGCAGATTTAAACCTTGAGGGACAGTGTTGCTCCTTCGAACGAAAAAATGAGTTCGTGAAACCGAATAATTCGTTAAAGAGAAACTTTTCGACATGCATGGGAATGGGCGGGAACTTGAAAAAAATTCCTAAGAAAGAAAATCTGTTATACAGAGGTTCGTTATATAGAGGAGACTGAACACCACTCTTCCTCTCGGCCTTTCATTCCCTGAGCCGAATTTGACAACCGTGGTCTCCAAGTTTGGGGAAAACCCGGGAAAACCGCTCGACGGATGTAGGCCCAATCAGTGTGAGCGAGGCCGCCACTCGCAGCCGCATTCCTTCCGCCCCGCGTTTTCGCCCGTGAGTTTTCCTCCCAGTGTTCGAAATTCGCAAAAAGGCCTTTTCGAAGCTCGAAGTTAATTCGACTCGAATCGGTCTCGTTCTGCCGCTCGACCTGACTTTTTTGTCATCGATTCCCTGAATGATTCTCGTGCGAAAGCCCTCTCATAATTATATTATTAATATTATAATATTATATATTTTTCGAAACTCGCGGGCCGTAAGATCGGTTTTATTCCCAAGCCGCCAGAATTGAGCTCGTTTCCCGAAATCGCGTTTTAGCGCTGCTGGAAGCAAAGAATAACGCGCGAGCTCTCATTTGGCAAGGAAAGCCTCGATTTTGCCTAAATTTACTGCAGTTTTTTAAACATTTGATACTCTTGAAAATTTGAAAAATTGACCAATGCGAGTGAAAAAAACTGTACAACTGATATTATTACTTCAAGGTAAAACCACCAATGTTCGGAGGGTTAAGATAGGATTTTAATTCGGTCGTCCCGCCTTAATGGTACCACCCAGATGCTTATTTTTTTTTGCGTATAATATAAGTAAAATATGAGTAGGTACGAGTGTGATAAAGATGATGACCATCGTAATTCCTATCACGTGGGTGTCCGAACTTAGACGCGAAATAAGAATTGCTCATAGAATCAACATTTCCGCGTTTCTCGAGCGAGGTCGTCTCCGTGCATTTCCTTGAATTCGTCCTGCCATGACGTCCATTTTCCCCCGATGTTTCGAAATCGTGCTCAGCGATCGTGGCCAGCGCAAGTCTTTTTCGCTCGGTAACATGGTCGTCTTGGGTTAAGTACTCTCTCTGCCATGTCATTCTCGCGAATGCATTAACAATAAACGTTAGAGTGTTCAAACTTGGTTGGTTTTACCCCATAGCAATTTTTCTTATTTTTTTTTAAGATACCGCCACTATCGCGTTCAGCTCATCGATCGCGATTCCCTCTCCGCTCGCCTCAGCCGGCTTATCCGCGCCTCGGGCATTCGGTGGCTTATCGGATCGATCTGGAGAGTCTTATGAGTTTATAAGCTTTTTTTTTCCTTTTTACTTCCGAAGCTGGGGATGCCTCTCGGCCCGGCTTCCCACGGCACGGAGAAACGTTTTTTCGTGTATTTTCGAAAGATGCTATTACTCTCGAGGCCTTCTGAATCGTTAATGCGAGACGGAAATGGAAGCGATCGTTTTAAGGGAGCGCAGGGTTCGCAGGGTTCGCAGACATTTTATTTGACCTTCATGCTTTCTTCCCTTCAGTTCCTCATCGTCGTCTTCCTGGAATCCCCGAGTCGCGGTAAACAGGAAGCTCCTGTGCGGGAGGATCGAGGGCTTTGACGAGGTCTCAAACGATTTCGAGGTGATTCCTCGTCTCATCAGTAATCCGATCGTGATATTCGGGGTAAATCGCTAAGACAATTTCGTCGGCTCCATCCCAGCCCCGCTCGGATTCCCGGATGAACAAGTTTCCCTCGAGGA